GGGTGCTCTATGTACCTGATTTCCAGTGCAACTTACTGTCTGTTAGTAGACTTACTACTGATCTACTGGTTACGTTCACTTTCCTGGGTGACTTCTGTGTGCTTCAGGACTTACCTTCCAAGAGGCTGATTGGGATGGGTAAACATGTGGACGGCCTATATTATCTGAGACTCTTCGCACCCACGTACCCAGTGGCACATTCAGTTCGTCGTTCCTTGGACAAATCGGAGCTGTGGCACACACGTCTTGGGCACCCTTCTACAGCGAAGATGCATACTCTGGAGAAACTTTTGCATTGTTCTTTTGATCAGAATAAAGACCCTTGTCGATCTTGCTTAAGGGCTAAACAGACGAGAAATTCATTTGATTCCAGCACTATTAAGTCCACAACTTGTTTTGAGCTTATCCATGTTGACATTCGGGGGAGTTATAAGACTGCTTCAACATCTGGTGCTCATTATCTTTTGAAAGTCGTGGATGATTTTAGCCGGCCTGTTTGGGTTTTTCTCCTTCGGTTTAAATCCGACGCAGCGCGTCACTTGATTTATTTCTGTAACTTGGCCAAAACATAATTTGGTAAGCAGGTCCGGAAGATTCAGGCGGACAATGGCCCTGAATTCTCGAGTAGTGCTTTGACTACGTATTATGAGAGTGGGGGAATTATTCTGCAGACCTCGTGCACAGATACTCCAAGCAGAATGGGGTAGTTGAACGGAAGCATCGGCACTTGTTGGACACTGCACGAGCATTGCGGTTTCATGCTAATCTGCCGTTGCGATTCTGGGGTGAGTGTGTTCTAATAGATGCATATCTCATTAATCGTATGCCATTGGTTTCTATTGGATATCGGTCCCCTTTTCAGCTTCTGTTCGACAAAGACCCAGCTTATGATCATCTTCATAGTTTTGGTTGTTTGGTCTATGCCCGGGATAATCATCATGCCTTACACAAATTTGGAGAGCGTGGTCGTGCAGGCATATTTCTTGGCTATCCTTCATCGCAAAGTGGATATCGAGTTTATGACCTCGAGACACGGCATATATATACCTCTCGAGATGTACGGTTTCTTGAGCACGTTTTTCCTTATCGTGATTTGGGTGACCTGAATTCCCTTACTCCAAGTGCTGTTTCGAGGCCTTCTTTTGGCGTTCCGCCAGCTCCTGTCCATGATGAGGACGTCAGCTCCTATCCACCTGCTCCTTCTCGGCCATCATGCAGTAATGAAGTTGAGGTGTCGGTGGCCATGCATGACACTAGTCCTCCCACGTCCCCGACGATTTTGCCTAGTGAGTCTCCTTGCTTCGATCCAGGCGCGGGATCATCCACCCCATCGGTTGACATCAGCGGCCCCAGCCCTTCCGATTCTCCTACTCCCACGTCACCTCCAGTGCCTCCCGTGCGGCGTAGCAATCGAGTTCGGGTGCCTTCCACCCGATTGGCTGGGTATGATGTCCAATTGCCTGGAGCAGCCCACTCGGCCACTGTCACCTACCCACTTGAGGATTATATCACTTATCACCGTTTATCTACAACTCACCATGCCTTTGTTGCTGCCGTGAGTGCAACGTACGAGCCTACTTCTTTTGCTGATACCGTCCGTTTTCCTCATTGGCGTGAAGCTATGGTGCGTGAGATCAATGCAATCATTGAGAATGGCACTTGGTCTCTCACTAATCTTCCTCCAGGTAAGAAGAAAATTGCTTGCAAATGGGTTTATAAGGTTAAGTTCAAACCAGATGGGTCCGTTGATCGGTACAAGGCACGTCTGGTGGCAAAGGGGTATACGCAAATTGAGGGCATCGATTTTCATGATACTTTTGCACCCGTTGCAAACTGGTTACTGTTCGTTGTCTCCTTGCTGTTGCAGTTACCCGTGGTTGGTATATTCACCAGTTGGACGTTAACAATGCTTTTTTACATGGTGATCTTCATGAGGAGGTCTATATGGCGATTCCGCAAGGCTTTGCAGGTCCTGGCGATCGTCGCGTTTGCCGTCTGCATAAGTCGATTTATGGTCTCCGACAAGCTTCTCGGAATTGGTATAAAAAATTCACCCATTCCTTGGTTGAATTGGGTTTTGTTCCTAGTCGTGCAAATCATGCCTTGTTCACCTATCGCAAGGGTTCTATGTTTGTCACTGCACTTATATATGTTGACGATGCCATTCTGGCAGGCACCGATCTGGCTTTCATTAATAGTGTCAAGGCATTTCTCCATGATCGATTCACTATAAAAGATCTTGGTTCACTTAAATATTTCTTGGGTATCGAGGTGGCCCGTTCTCCTCGTGGCATTGTGCTTAATCAGCGGAAATATGTTTTGGACATTCTTGCCTCCACTGGTCTTGAGGCTGCCAAGCCATGTTCCACTCCTATTGAGCAGCAACATCATCTTGGTCGCCTTCCCTCTCCACCTGCCGCCGATCCTGGAGCTTTTCGTCGCCTGGTGGGTCGTCTCCTTTACCTCACGGTTACTCGTCCTGACATCGTATATGCTATTAATCTCCTCAGTCAGGCTATGCAGGCGCCGACTAAGGCTCATGAGGATGCTGCAGTCCGTGTTCTTCGGTATCTTAAGTCCTCTCCTGGTCGTGGTCTCTTCTTTGCTGCCGACAATTCCCTTGTTCTGACTGCTTTCTGTGATGCTGACTGGGGTGGTTGTCCACTCACTCGCCGTTCTACAAGTGGTTACTTCATTACCCTTGGTTCTTCTCCCATCTCTTGGCGTACGAAGAAACAGACCGTTGTTGCCCGGTCTTCTGCTGAGGCTAAGTACCGAGCCATGGCAAGCACTGTTAGTGAGTTTCTCTGGCTCCGTTGGCTTCTTCAGGATTTAGGCGTCTCTCCCTCCGGTCCCACGACCCTGTTCTGTGATAATCAGGCTGCTCTCCACATTGCCGCCAATCCTGTTTTTCATGAGCAAACTAAACACGTTGAGATGGATTGCTACTTCGTTCGTGAACGTGTTCAGTCCGGTGATATTGCTCCCGCCAAGATCCCTACTTTAGATCAGCCGGCAGACTTGTTTACGAAGGGATTGAGTGTTGATCAGTTTCATCATCTCTTCGTCAAGCTTGTACTTCTCGATATTCACTCCTTCGCTTGAGGGGGAGTGTTGTGACTCCATATTAACATTTGTCTTTTGTATGGGGTCATTATGTAATTTGCCTAGGCTCATGTTGATACGTAGAGAGCTAGGTTAGCTGTAGAAGGGATATATATTTGGCTCATGTGTAGCGGCAGAAGCCTAGCCGAATAACAACAAATAATAAAACTGCTCCGAGAGCTTCAAGCTCTCCGTGGACTAGACCTACTCACACCGAGTAGGGAAACCACGTAAAATCTCGTCTCGTGTTACTTTCTATTCCGCAATCATCGAATTTTACAAAGATTGAGGAGTGGATGCATACCACCGAGCTTGGGGTCGTCAATGGCGACACAGAAGTCCTGAAGAGGGCGTGGATCGAATGCCGCCGCAATCGAAGCAATTCCAGCAATAAGAAGAAAAATAGCAGCAACCCGCAGCTGATAAGCTCCTCCCATAATGCTACCTATCAATGTTTGAGCTACTACTCGATGGATCGTGTGGATATCTCAGTTTCTTTGTTGTTGCCTTGTTGGTGAAGAGTGAGATATCCTACCCGGATTGCTGGCTATTTATAGATTACAATCAGTAACATGCAGTTGAACTAGTCTCATGTTGACTTTGGAGGAACAATAACCCAGCATTCGTATGGATTATTGAAACATAAAACTTCATTGATATAGTCTTAATTTTTACCGGTTCTACGCATGCTGTGAAATGGAGACTTTGTTCAAGTGACGATTTCTCAAGTTATCGATATTGATTGGTACACCTAATCCATTCTTATATTACCGAGACTAAGTTAATAGAATTGAAAAATGATGCATGAAACATTTCGACACCCATACCAAGGGCGGTTTTATGATAGACATCCAATCTATCCATATAAGAGTAAAAACTCTTATAAATCAGTGTCTACTGTGTACAAGTTCTATTAGTATGAGGTGTTTTGGGAAAGAACCCAAAAATAAACTAAGCTGACTTGATCTAAATTGAACATTAATATCGTACGAATGAATCATCCGAGCTCAACCGATATGGTCTCTCGTTACATAAAAATGAAACCAACATAAACTTATCCACTATATTGGTTAAGCAGTGAAGCTCATGAAAGTTTATTCTTTAGATTATTGATTAAGTATTATTTGATCTGGATCAACATTTGACAGCTTATTACAAGTAAGAGATGCTTTCACCTCATCACCTCAAGATCCTTGACTCACGTGATAGTGAAAGGTGATTGCAAGGTGGTCGCCAGCTAGATCCGACATGGTGTTCTAGAAGATTCCATTGGAGGTTCGGTGCTCAGGGAGTGTCATCAGATCCTAATCTCTTTGTTAGTTTGTATAGAGTTTAGGGTGATTCCTAGAGCCTGCTGCCCATAGAGTGGCGCATAAAACATTGTTGTGTCTCTCATAGAGTTAGAGTCTTTCGTCTTTTTTGAATGATTTTAGTAGGGTGTCTCTTGTAAGGGGTTCCTGAATAGTTTTGTTTGTCTAACTCTTGTCTTCTCTTCTCTTGATATCACTCGAAAATAAAAATAAAAAGGGCTAATACCACTACAACACCTGAACTATTCCAAAAATGCCACTTGTGTCCTATTGTTTTCAATATTCCATCTGTGTCCTGAACTATGATTCTGTTATCGTTGACTTTTGTTGATCGTTAAATTTTCACGGAATGACAGAGCAGCGCTGATGTGTAAGCGGACGTGGCTCTTTCTAATTGCGACGTGGCTTTTTATTTATTTCATATTTTAAAAAACTACAATGAAATCAGAAGGTAAATTTTGGCCGGCCATTTCACCCACCACATTTACCTTATCTTACTATCGAAGAGAGAGAATTGAGCGAAGGAGAGGAAGAACCCTAAACAGTCTCCCGACGAAGAAGGCTATCGGCGCTGGTGATTCTCCTCTACTCGAGCATGGGGCCTGCGATTCGGCGCTGGTGAAGGCCCTCAGCAACACGAGAAGCGGGGAAGACGGAAAGTGCGCGATCGATTCCTCGAGGGGAGGGCGATTTCTTCAGCCTCCTCTGTCCGAAGAAGATCGAGCCCTGTACCACCATCGCCGATTCTTTCTTCTCGACATCTCCTGGAATATTCGCAGCCTTCAAATCGTCCACCATTGAAGAATTCGAGCAGCCATTTGAAGAAGAAGGCGCGGATTTGCGGGATTTGAGTTTCCCCCAAATTTTCTAGGGTTTCTCTTCGATGCTTTGTGGTCTCTTTTCTGGAGTGTTGGAAGTATTTGAAGGGTGACTGGGTGGTTGGGAAGCAAAGAAGGTGCCAGAAATAGTACAAAGGAGTAAATGGCGTAGCTGCTTCGCTGGTGTTAAAGCTCGAGATTCTCTGGGAAAAGGTTGAAAAACAGGGACCACGAGGACAGTGTCAAGACTCAGTTACCCTTTTGGCAACTTCAGTAACAGGTATGATATGGGTGAAATTAGTACGTATTGGTCATTTACGTTGGTGGTTGAGAAGTCGTTGTCTTGGTTCGGATTATTCAATTGAGATGGGAATCAGTTTTGTGGTCTTCCAGAAGGAAAGTAGTCGAGTCAAATGCTTTGTGGAATGCTTTACGGAATAGATTATTAGGGGTGGTTAAAGTATGCTTAATGTCTCAATTCGATGAATTTAGGCTATTGTTAAATGGGGATTGTTTGGTTTTGCAGGATGTCGACATTGGTGGAGTTGATTGTCCATCATGGTGGGAAAATGGAATATTCTGATGATGGTATTCGCTACATAAATGGCAAGTCAGAGGCTGTTGACATGGACATAGATTATGTCTCGTTCTTCCAACTCCAACAAATTGGAACAGTCCACTTCGATTATGCAAGGGTTGAGAGGCTGTGGTACATGGCACCCTCCGACACTTTGGATAATGGTCTAGTTGAAATACGGTCTGATAGTGAGGTGATGGATGGCTTGCTCCCAGCCATAGAAGATGGAAAAATTATGATATTCATGGAAGCAATAGAAACTCAAATCGGGGACAATGAAGAACTTGGAGAAGAGTTATCTGATGATGGTGATTCGGAGGATGGGGATAACTCACAAAACCGAGACATTATCCATCTCATGGATGATGATATCCGTACTTCTGATGATGAGTTCATTGATGCAATGGAGGAGCAAGGAGTCAGACCACGACGAGTTTGTACTCGTGTTGATCAAACTGGGAAGGAGGTAGAGCAAGAGTTATTGTTTGTTGATGGGACCCACCTGTGGATGAAGGCAGAGTTAATAGTGAGACCATTGCTGCAGATGAGGTTGATAACGAGGACTTGAGGGACAGGGTTGTGGAAGATTCAGCCTACCGGGGTTCAATTGAGTCACGCCACGTGAGGGGGAACATTGATGACGAAGACAAAGGTAGCCCTCTAGAAAACGGACCTCGATATGACCGTATGTGTGACCATTCAACCCTTAAGTTGGTTGTGGGCATGACATTTGAAAACCCCAAGCAGTTCAAGGAGGCCGTTGAAAACCATTGCATTGCCATTGGAGCTGATATGAGATGGACTAGGAGTGACAAGCAAAAGAAGCGTGCTCAATGCCATAACAACTGCGGGTGGTACGTTTATGGAAGCTGGCATGGACGTTCTTGCTTTATGATCAAGAATGTTGGAAAGGATCACACATGTCCTAGGTCTGTGAGAATGAAGGTTGCAAATGCTGTTTGGGCTGCTAAAAAGTATCTCGATAGATTCAGAAGGGAGCCAAATTGGAAGGTCAAGAACATGATGGTTGAAATAAGGCAAGCACACAACTATCAGATATCCAGGAGGCAATGCTATAGGGCTCGGATTTATGCGAAGAGGATGTTGGGTGGCTCATTGGTTGAAGAGTACAATAAGGTCAGGTCCTATATGGCAGAAATGAAGAGGAAAGATCCTGCTGGAACCTTCATACTTGAGGTTGACCCAAGTTCTATTCCTGAACACAAGTCGCAACTTGCACAAAAACCAAAAGGTTCTCAATTCGATTAATCAAAGTCTTCTATTTTACAACGTATAGGTACAATCTGAAGTTGTACCATAACGTAAATATACTATTTTAAGTTGTACCATAAAGACAAAAACCTATAGCACCAATACTATATAGCATTGTAAAATTTCTCATATATGTTGTTCATCCTCATCCTCTACAGGCTACAGCTGCCCTTCAATTTACCCATCAAAGCTAATAATCGATTCCTTTCTAGTTGACAGCAATGAAAATAGAAAGGACAGAGTTGTCCACGGAGGAAGGAGACGAACATGTGCGAACGAATCACGGAACACTCCTGGGCAATTTTGCGGTAACGCCAATGCCTCTCTATCTCAAATCTTGCTGGCGGCAAAGAATCCCCACACACCATGACTGCAAAAGGGAGCATATATGGGTTTTGCATGCTTTCTTAATCAATCAAAACCAGGGATTCCATCTCCTTCATCAAATCAACGGACACCATCTCCAATTTCTTGCTCTGTCTGTGTAAAATCTAATAGTTTGGAGGTCGGAACACAGTCATCTTAATGCATGGTCACTAATAGCTAGAACGGCGACTCCAGCGAACTGGGAAAAAGACGACGGAAGGCAACGACAAGTCTCTACGATGGCATGGTTAAAATTGACAGCGACGATGGTATGGTGGCAGGCGAGGGCAACAAGGAGAGAGGGAACAGGCAAATCCGCGCTCTTGCGAAAGTGAATTCGTGCTCTTGCGAAAGTGAGTTCGCGAATTTTGGGCGATCTCAGTAAATTTCGATTTTCGCGCTCGAAATCATGCTTTCGAGCGCGGCAATCCAAACATGGTGAATTAAATTACATAAACTCAACGAAGGTTTTCCACAAAGATCAAGATCTTCATAAAATCATGCGAACTCCTTGGTGTGGTGTCACAAGTTTATACGTCTCGTAGGGATAGATGAGGTTGTTCTTCGAGATCCAGTCAGCTACTCTATTTCCTTATTGATACATATGAGCTATGCGAACCACCCAATACTGAGTTAGCTTCCTCCAAATGGCATCGTGAAGAGTTGCGCGCCATAACTAGATGTGAGTCTGTTTCCATTAAAATCATTATGCATCCTTGCCTCCATGCTAGATCCGGAATGTGGTAAAGGCCCCAAAGGTCCGTAATTGCAGTTGAACAAATACCTAGGCTTGCCACAAAATCATAGATCCATCTTCTGTTAGTGTCTCTAAGAGTTCTGCTTGCTCCAACAAGGCCCGGGTTTCCATTATTGGATGCTCCGTCTATATTTAGTTTCAACCAGCCTTGTGGAGGAGTTTTCTACCCGATCTCGGCAGTCTCCGGTTGAGGAGAGGCTCTGTTCCTTGCGATAAAAAGACTCGAAGCTCTCCAAGCTTCATTCCTGTTTACACAAAACTAATTTTCATTAATTATTACATGTATGAACAGCTTGGCCACTTTAAGTAGTTGGCTCATGTGTACATGGATGGTCCAATTTATCAAGTCGGACCGTAGGGTTTATGGATGGTAGTGTCCAACATTATGGATATCATCCAAATCCCATTATGGATACCATAAAATTCAATTATGGATGGTAGTATCCAACATTATGGACACCATCAAAATCCCATTATGGATGGTAATGCCCAACATCATGGGCACTATCCAAACCCTAGGACATATGGTACCATCCAAGATCAGGGACACCATCCCAAATATAATGGACACCATTTAAACTCAAAGTGGATGGTGCCATCCAACAGCATGGATACCATCCATTTTCTTTGGTGTATGGTGACCATCAAATTGTCCATCCATGGTACGTAGGGTTGATTGTCCAGGGACACGATGACGTGTTGAAACCCACTCTATTACATCGAAGGAGACCTCATAACGACGCGCACTCTTCCAGGTGTAGGAGTTCCCTTTCGTTTCCACCGAAAAACCATTCAAACAAGCTTGCTCGAGCTCGTTTGAATACCTTGTTCTAGCATTCTTAAACAAAGAATTTGATTCCTTTGTATTGAGCTGCGTAATTCTGATCGAACACCCATCCAGGGTGTTATCAAGTGGCATCAGTAGCCTGGTTCTTCACAATGGTGACGAGTTCAATGGAGGGAGGCGGCATCGGCAAGACGCACTTGACAAAGTCGAAGGGCCCTATTCTAGAGGAACCCCCTGTGTTGTTATCCAAGAAGTAAAAGCATAAGAAACAAGCTCTCGAAATCAACACTTCATCTACTAATGGTCAAACGAAATCGGCAATGGGCGAGGCTCAACCCGTCACGATGGCGGGGCTGCAACAGTTCTTCCATGGGCAAGTTGTTGCTCTGCTCCAGAATCAACTCGACAAACAGGAAAAAAGTTTAAAGACATCACAGATAAATTTGATATTCTAACGCGGCAGGTAACGATGCTATGAAAACAAAGCGGGCCAATTGCAGCAATGCCACTCAGAGTTCGGTCTGCTGCCGCAACCGGTGATCACTCGCCGGGAAATCGAGGTACCCATGCGCGGCCGAAAAACACAAAGCATGATCAAGCTCTGGCTTAGTGAGTTCATGAACTGGAACATCAATTGATGACTCTGGAAGTCAATTATGACAACCAGCATCCAATCAATCGACAGTGAGGAGGATTTCAATGGCCAAATCATGAAGCAGAGGAAGTTCCAATCTCGGAATTGCGGCGAATCAAATTATATGTTCCTCCCTTTCAAGGAACGATTAATAACTCTGCCTATTTGGATTGGGAGAGAAAAATCTTGTTGTTCTTCCAGTGTGGCCACTATATCGATTCACAAATGATTGTGTTGGCCACTTACGATGTTACGGACTACGCCGCTCAGTGGTGGGAGCAAGTTTGCCACCGACGGCAACAGAACATGCGTCCTCCATTGACGACTTGGGACAAATTGAGTGGGGTGATCAGAGAGGGCTTCGTGCCAGCTTAATATTGTCATGAATTGCACGAAGCCTTGCAGTCAATTCATCAAGGAACGAGGTTAGTGGATGACTACTACTAAGAACTCGAGATGATATTGCTCCGGGATGACATCCGAGAAGACGCAGAGGCTATGATATCGAGGTTTTTGCACAGCCTCAATCGATAAATCCGGCAAGAGGTAGAGCTACGCCAATTCATTGACTTAGAAGAAGTCGTTCA